ATAAGCTCTTGTGTACAGAACAAAGAGAACAGCGAATTTGGTTCTACGCACAACTTCAGCCACATGAAAACTGCATGCACAATCTTCGACATAATTGCCCGGACTGATGTTTGAGCAATATACTGTGAATAGTGATACATATGTTACATTTTCCAATTATAAAACTAGATGGGATGATGAAATTGCCTCTTTGACTCGCTGAATTTAGCTTTGATATGCATGAACAACGGTCGACGAATGGCCCATCCATCCAATATCACAATATTTCGTAGAACTTCAAAATTAGCCCAAATAAGTAAAGATTCGTCTCTTCTCTCCTCTTCAATTTGAATCCTCTCTTTTTGTTTCTTTTTATAATATACTAGAATAGGACCCGCGTTAATAACCGGATAAACACAATAAAAATTACCCGCGTAAACTTACGCTATTATTAAAGAAAACTTAGCATGATACCCATTGTTCAAGGGCAATAAGAAGCACTTTTTCAATTGATTCCTCACCTGATCATTGTGAACGTGAATCTTTCTTGTTTGGAGATGAGAGGGTATTGTGTCTTTTCTATCAGAGTTCACCATATCTAAAAGGCCCATACACTTAAAACCAACGGTATTCCGTTTTCTATGATAATATCAAAACGGGAACTATCGCATGCCATCACCCCTCTCCAACTACATGGTCTGCAACCTCGGTAGTTGTAATATCCATTACTCCCTAAGGAAAGAACAGGTAAAAGGAAACATTAGAAGTAACCTACGCCACAACCAAAAATGAAGGACTAACTGCATAAATCATGAAGCTATAAGTAAAGCAAATCTCGGCGAATGGAGAAGAAAAGAGAAACCTGTATAAACCCTTCTTTAACCAAAGATTCCATTGCTCTGCCACCGACACCCGTGGCATGAAACACAAGTGTCTCATAACCTTCTTTTGTTAATATTTCTTCAACTGCATTTACACATGGAGTTGTTGATATTTCAAATGGTTCGTCAACAATCATGTGATATTTCTGTGTCGGAGCTGATTTACCTTGGAAGATGAGTTATTGGAGAAGGCGTCGATGTTTGATCGCACTGATCTTGCAAGGAATCGTAGCTCATCAAGCTTTGTATCGACGGTTCCGACACAGTACACTCGACAAGTTTCGCCTTGCATCGTCGTCGTCTCGCACACGGATTGAAAACCTCTGTTTTGGAGGAATCCAACACTAAAATACTCTCTGATTACAATGCAACCGGAATCTTGGATTTGATTTCTTCATGTATGAATCATAATATCGGTTGGTGCATTCCGATTTTCAATTCGCTTTTTTCTATATTACATAATCCACCTATAGTTTTGTTCTGTAACAGATATACCATGTAGAAATGTTTATTACAAAATGGCTTCCGTTTTTATAGTTTATTTTGAAAGTACCGAATATTTGTGTTTATTATAATAATACCCCGTATAGCTTTTATCTATTATAGAACGAACGGCCGTAGAATTCTGATTATTACGGAAATTCCCAATAGTTTATATTTATTACTATTCGCCCTATAGTATTTTTCTTTCTATAACAAAATTCCAAATTTATTACAGATATTCCCAATAGTTTTGTTTATTACATAGGCTCTCCCGTGTGGTGTGAGAACTATTTTTTTCTTGTCGTAGGTAATCTAATTATGGCCAAGTGAAGATGTTGATCGGTCCAAATGCATTAACATTGTCCTAGTCTCAAATGAAAGTAAACAAAATATACATTGGAAAAATTACTTTCGAATTAAAGAAACAACTATAGTAACACTCGTTTTGTTCATGCAGCTAATATGTTGGGACGCATGGTATGCAAACCTGTTAAACAATGCGTCGATAATATCATCTCCGAAGTGAGCTACAAGCATCGGTTCACTCGCCGCTCTTACACATTTGGCTTCCTTTTCCCCTGCTTTAGATCTCTGTGAATGTAACCTATTGTCTTCGTCTTGGTTACTCTGGCCTAGATCAAATCCATGAATCTCCAAGTCATCGATCTCAAAGGAGCCTTCGTTTCGAATACTCTCCTTCACTTCTTCTTTGGTAGGATCATAAAACGGCACTTTGAAAGAATCAACCTTAGATGCACTCACAAGACCCTATATTTGTAGATCATAACAAGTTAGAATCTTTATAAACTATGCGCGCGTGCATGAACATATTAACATGAAAAGTTTAGTACTTTAATATAAATGTTACCTCAGAGAGTAGATCGCCCAGAGATTTGGATAACAATGTCCAAAAGTGACAACAGTCCCTATATAATGGATCATCAAGAGTGTTTCTACCAACAAAAGTGAGAACCATGCGTCCATTAGAAACCATCTCTTCAGAACGCATTTTCAGAAATGTTGTAAAGTCTCTTTGGAATTCATTCAAGTACGCCTCGTATTCACTTGGAAGACTCGAAGTTGTTATGTATACACTCGAAGAATTATTCTCAAGTCCTTCGGGAACCTTAATTAATTACAAGCTCCATCGTTAGAACCTTTTACGTACTTATAAACAGAATTAAATATGAAAGTTTAGTTGTAAAACCTTAGAGAGCCAATGGAGACTGTAAGATGAATGTACGAAATGGAGACTCTTACGGGGAAAGAGTCTCGAGTAGAAGGAACCGGGGACTCCAGAGACAAAGTACAATCCTTTGGTTTCGACCCTCTTGTCGAAGAAAGGTATGGACTTGAATGTCGTGTTGAAATCGTTTGTTGAGAGATCGTTCAAACAACAATCAATCTCGGGTGGCTTTTGGTTACATTCTTGACATAACACATTGATGGTGTTCACGATCTCAGACATGGTCAAGAACGTGTTTTGTCCAGAAGCACATCCCAAATCAACTACTTTAACGTAATTAGGAAACTTTAAGTTTATCATCATTCCTTTTGTGTTCTTCACCAAAACCGGTTTGGCCTTCGATAGAACTCTTTTCTGAAAAACATTGTGAAGAGAAAGAGATTGAGAAACTATATATTATTTGTTACTAGAGATTGTCCACGCGTTGAGTAAATTTAAAAATTAACATGGTAAAATATGTAACAATTCTAGTTTATTAATTATTTGTGTATTTAATATTACAAAAAATTATTGTTGTACTAAATAATTATCTAGATTAGAAGATTAAGTATTTGGAGTAAATTGTTGGACATATACAATGTTATATGTGAAAAGAAATAGACTGTTTATTAATAAAAATTACAGCATATGCATATGGAAGATATCTTCTTTTGCACAAATCTACAACTTTGTATGTTTAATTTATCAATATTCACTACGGTTCTCTAAAAAAATGATTGGTCGTCTTTTTTCTTGCATCAAATACGTTGGTAAAACAAATCTATTGATCAGATAAATTGTAATATTGTTTTGCTTCTATCGAGACATTTGCATTATCTCAACATAGATGTTGAATGCATATATTCTACGATTTTTATCTTTCACATCGATTCATTTGTGAATTATTATGTTTTTTTTATTCACAATTTGTGGAGGAGTAAGGTTTCTTTTCGAGAGTATTGGTTAAGTGATGGTTGACAACTTTAGCATTCTAACAGCCTTAAAATTCCTAAAATCTTTAATTAATATTCTCACACCATTTTTTTAGTTAATGTTATGATTCTTTTTATTAAAGATTTTGTGATTTTTTTGTTTTAAAATGGTAGTTACCTATCTAAAATTTTAGATGTTTTTGTATAGTATATTGATGGGTTTAATAAATAAAATATATATGTTTCAAACCGTTAAAAGTTTACAATAACACATTTAATTTGGAATTATAAATTTTTGTGGATATCAAAAAAAGAAAAAAAATGAAATTCGTCATCCTTAAAAAAAAA